AAAGTGGGACTTTAGCCCCGGGTTGGGCCCACTCCGAAGGAGTGTGTATCCATTCAGTGTGGTACCAGGAGGCCAGTTATTACACAATCATCACACTTTCTGTTAGCAAGCTGTTTCCAAAAATGATCAATGTTTTGAAGCAAACGGGGTACCTAGTGACAAAGGTTCTTTGCTTGACCAAACTTCAGTCAGGTTCTGGGACCTCCTCCTAGGCCCATCTGTGCACTTGCTGGTAAAATCCAGTTTTAGCGAGAACCCTGCTAAGTCGGTCTAGCAAGAACCTCTTACCCTCACTATCTGATAACCCTTAATGTCTGATAGAGTTCCTCATTTGCTGCCATCCCCCTGATATCTGATCACGTTGCCTGCCCTCAGCAACAATCCTGTTTGGTTAGTTTAGCCAGAGTCCCTCTTACAGGTCTTGGTGTTTCCTCTTGGTAATTTTCTATCCACTGACCCCCACCCTGCTCCTTGGCTATAAATTTCTATTTGCCCATGTTGTGTCCAGAATTGAGCCTGGTTCTGTACTGAGGTCTCCTTTCTCTTATTGCAATAGTCGTGAATACAATCTTTATGTATATACAACGTTGGGAAAAAAAATGGGTTTACAGTCGTGAGTATGCAAAACAGAGCTCATTCTATCATTTGCCATACGAACAACTGTAAACCTACTTTTGCCCCACTCTGTATATATTAGGTATGTTTGTATGTATGTATTCATTCATTTTGCTTTAACTGCTGTCTGGCTCTGGTTTTCATTTTTAAAAACATATCTTTATTGATTTCAGAGAGAGGAAGGGAGAGGGAGAGAGAGATAGAAACACCAGTGATGAGAGAGAGTCACTGACCAGCTGCCTCCTGCATGCCCGTCCCCCCTGACTGGGGATCGAGCCCGCAACCCAGGCATGTGCCCTGACTGGGAATCGAACCACGATTTCCTGGCTTCTAGGTCTGTGCTCAACTGCTGAGCCACCCCTGGCTGGGCAGGCTCTGGTTTTCTTTAAAGCCAGTTCTTTCTGTTTATGTTGAGCATACCTGGTGTGTGTGTGTGTGTGTGTGTGTGTGTGTGTAAACTCCTACAGATAAAAGGTGGGACAAAGAATGGAGAGGCAGAAAAGGAGTGCAAGTACTGAATTCTCCACATCGTACCTGGATTGTATTCTGAGCCCTCCAAGATCACTGTAAAACCGCATAAACCCAGTATGAAATTGTAAAAGCCCAAAGCAAGTCATATGTAGATAGGTTCTTACTGTATCTCGACTGTAGTTATGTTCACGGAATGTGGAGATTGCCAGCTGGTCCTGAAGAAGCCTTCACGCATGTCCTTCATGTAATACAGGACGCTGCTGTTGCAATACTGGTCTGCTCTGTCCCAGAGGCCTACGGTGCTGTTGTTAGTGTCCAGTGCTCGCAAGACCACAGAGATGGTGTTGTTGTTCACAGGAACAAATACTAGGAAGAAGCGATAAGGAGACTATCAGCCATCTGTGTAGTAAGACAAGGCATGAGAGTCATGAAGTCAAAACTCACTGTGAAAAAAATTACAAATAGCATGTCCATGGGGTATGGTCCCATTTTTGTAAAAGGAGTTGAAAAACATCTGGAAGGAAAGCCATCAAGATATTAAGTGTGGTGACTTCTTGGTAGTGGGATTACAGATGTGTTTTATTTCCTTCCTAGTGCTTTCTTGTGTTTTCTAAATTTTCTACAATAAAAGGTAGACAAAAGGAGACCTATGCTTTGGCCCTGGTTTTGCTACTTACCAGGGGTGAGCTTCGGGACTGCTTCCTAACCTCGGGAGCCTGGTTCTCATCTGTCAGGTGAGGGGGTAAGTGTGCTCTGCTCTTCTTTAAGGGGGTGTGGCATGTGGGGAGAGCAGGGCTTGGGGCAGGCAAAAGGGTCACATGGGCCCCCTGGGAAGTATTCCCTGAAAATTGGGAATGTTATTGTCAAGTTAAAGCAGAGCCCATTTCCTAGTTCTAGATATGCCGAAGCTCTTGGTGTCTGTTGAGGGTGAGGGAAGGGGGGCCCTCTGAGCCCTTGGGGGCCTAATCCAGGTACCTGTCAAGTGACCCCTTAGAGTTCCCTAACCTTCTCCACTCAGGCGAGTCTCTTATGACCTCGCCTGACACGCACTCACAGGGGACCCCACTGACACTTGTTAATTCCTCTGGTTAATTCCAGCATTCTGATGTGGAATGGGGAGGGGGTTTCAAGAGAATATTTCACTGGGTTCATTTCCTTCCTTAGAAGATCCCTTCTGAATGAATTCCTCGGTGCTAAGGTGTTGTCCAGGGCACCTTCAGACACCTAGAATTCCTCAAGGACTTCTCCTTCACAAACCAAAGAAACTGGACAGGTGGCACAATAGGATCGGGCAGCCCTGGTTCCGAATTCCAGCTCTAACAGGGATTTGCCTCTGAGCCTCAGTTCCCTTCTTCATCCTTCACTCCACAAATATTTGTTGAATGCCCACTTCGCACCAGGCCCGGTTCTAGGTCTGGAGATGATGACACTATCCTTTGTTATACGGAGCTCATTAACCTTATCTTGAAAGGCTCCTGGGAGGAGTCACGAGAACAATGCAGACTTTGATACATGATGGGTGTTAGCGAAATTGCAATTGTTTATTATTATTATTTGCACAAAACACTTCTCTGTTCTGTTTCTTTGCTATTGCCAGTGAAGGTGGGCTGAGTCAGATCCTATGGGCCCTGACTTGCTCAGTGAGAACCTGGCACTTGCCCTAGACAAGTGCGTGATGGTCAGGTGGACTGTGACGATCGATGGAGTCATCGCGTCCGTCAGCTCTCCCTCGGGCATGCTCTCACCTCTGTCCTTTCTTCTGCTTTCCCCCTCGCTCTGGCCTGTGGTTTCCTTTCCTCTCTCCTCGGCACCTGTACTATTTGGATCCTGGTCTCCACGTTCCCCTCCACTCAGGCTGCGACCAGATCAGACTTCCACACTCACGTCCATCAGGAGACACGCCTCCCCCAAGCCGCCAAAGCGCGCTTATTTCTAGAGCATGGAAACATTTCTGCTCCTGTTCTGCTGGGCACAGCACCCGGCTCGAGCTTTCATGACCCTGCTAACCTAGCTCACCCGGCCATTTGCTCCCCGTCTGGGGCCGGCCAGCCTTCCTGCTGTTCCGCACACACGCGTGGCTCACACCTGCTCTGGGCCTTGGCTCACATCTGGCTGTGTGGAATCCTTACTTCATTCTCGTCACACATTTCATTCCCATTTAGTCGCCAAGATCCTGCTATGTCCCACCTCCGGCCCGATTTGGCCTTCTTTCCCTCTCACGCCTGAAACATTTACTTTTTTTACTGTAGAGTTGAATGCTTAATTACATTCAGGCGTAATTACACTCAGGCTTAATTATGTACTGTGGTTTCATCTGTGTCAGTATCTGGCCAGCCCAGTGCTGGGCACCTGGAGGGCAGTAAATAACTACTAATTGAGTGACTTAAAAAGTTATGCATCCAGTGTTGCATAGTGAGTGCCCCTAAAGCTGAAGATTCAGGAATAAAGGCAGGCAGGTTACATCCCTCTTGGCCATAGAAGTAAAAACTGGAGGCAGATGCTTACCCAGTCCAGCCCTAACATAAATGCCGAGGCATATGGGTTTCTTTCAGTGATACGAAGACAGACCCAGGGAACTTGTTCTAAGACACTGCCTGAGCTGCAACTGTGTCTTGGGACCTGCCAAGCCATTTATACGTGACTAACTAATGTTGACACAAACCCTGAAATTTAGAAAACTTTGAAATCAAAATAAGAAGTTGGCGTGTGTGGGCATGTACTCAGTCTGGCCAGCCGTCTGGCAGTGACACTCTACAAGGAAATCCGGAGAACCCTAGGTGTGCAATAGGCACTTCACGCCTCTTGAGGGCACAGGATTTTGACTCAACTGAAATCATTCCTACGGTGAGTCAGTCAGCGTGTCACAGGACTGCAGCACATTCTGCGGTGAGCTAGGTGAAGGTCGGGGACGGCCACTGCAGGCAGCAGGCCTTGAATGAACCTGATAGTCTTTCCTCCTTCCCCTTGCCCCGCTCCTCCCCCTGCCCCTGTGAGTGCCGGGATTTTCCTTTCCCCACGTGGCCCCTCCCAAGGGGGCTTTCTCTTTTCCGGCCTCTTACTGACCCTCTTTGGACTCTTCTTTCTCCTGTCTTCCTGCTTTCAGAGGCTCACAATCCCCCCTCCCCATACCCCCAGGCTTCCCAGGTAGGTTTCTATTTCTACCATTTCAGCAGCAACATCCTTCACCTTGTGATGTGTTATCTCAGGTCAGTAGTCCCTCTGGCCCCCAGGTCCTTTCTCATATACAAGGTCACACACGTGCCCTACTTATCTTCATCTTGAATTACAAGAGCATCCTCCCTGCCCTATAGGACAAGATCCACTGCCTGAGCGAGTAGGATGTAGTGAGCTTTATCACAACTGAGGCATTTAGTGACAGTCCTCGTGAAAAAAATAGAAAAAGCACAAGCTGGCATGGGTGTGTGAAGGCAGGCTGGAGCTGAAGCCTGGGATCTATAGACCGCGGGTGTGGATGTCGCCCTGGTGGTCTCTCAGGTTGTGGTTAGAGTTCTAAGAGAGGCCGGAGAACACGGCAGATAAGAAGACAGGCTCTGAAGCTAGGCAGCCTGGCTGAACACAGCTGGACTGTTATTTAGGTTCAGATATTGGCTATGTTACCTGTACCTCAGGTCTCATCTGTAAAATGGGAAGATAATAGCATTGGCCCTTAGAAGAGTACCCAGCACATAGCGAGAAATATCAGCTCTTATCACTAAAACTGAGAGGCATATAGTGTAGTGGTTAAGGGCAGAGTCTCTGACGATAGAATGCTCAGGTTCATGTCCCAGCTCCACCGCTCAAGTAGCTCTGTGGCTTGAGCAAGTCACTAGCATTTCTACCTCTGTCTTCTCATCTATAAAACAGGAATGACAGTGGTCTCTACCTAATAGGTTGTTATGAGGGTTAAATGAATTAATACTTGGAAGCCACCATATGAAACGCCGTAAGTCTGGCTGATCCCAAAGGGGATACTTATATAATATCCCTAGGCACTTGAAAGTAAAGCACTGGATTAGGAATGACCATAACAAGATTCAAGAGCCAGTTCTGCCACTTGCTAGCAGTGAGACCCTGAGCAAATCATTTATCTTCTCTCAGCTTCAGGCTCCATTCAGAGAAGGTGGGATCGTAATATTTTCCCTGTCCAGTGAACTGGATTTTTCAGATTTGGGCTAAATGCGAACAGTGCCTCCTGGAGTTGTGCAATATACAGTCATCCACAGAGGCATTGCTTTATCAAATGGATGTGGAAAGATTACAAACTGTGATGCAACCATTATCACTTAACATAATAAAGATGCCAGTTTTAAGTCAGAACTTGACGTGGGTGTGGGTGTGCTCTTGCCGGGCCTCAGCTAACCTAGGGGTTGGGACTTAATGAGTCCTTGTTGCTCAGGTTGGCACAGGGAACATGCAGAAACATCCCCAGGCAACCCACTCTCTCAGCTGTTCTCATTCTTTCTGCCCCCACTTCCCACGCTGGTCAAAATCACATATTTTGAGAGCAGAGATGGAGAGTTATGTTCTGAAATTTTGGTAAACTCCCCTTAGAGAAAAAAGACACCAGAGAGAATGGCTCCTACTTACTTGTGTAGACTGTGCCGCTTTTATAGACGTCTGTATTGGCCTGGATGCCTGGAGTGGCGGTCGGACGGACTGCGTTGAAGAGCATGCATCTCTCGGGGTAATCTGCGGAGCTGGCTGCGATGAGCAGCGTTCCCAGGCACAGAAGCAGCAGCGTGGAACCGAGCACCGCCATGGTCTTGACCTGTTTGGAAAATGCCGGGCCTGGAGCTGGGGAAGACCTCACCTATTTATATGCTCTGGGGCTGAAGTTTCTGGGTGAGGTCATACATGCAAATTCTCCTCTAACCGCTCCCTAGAATGAACTGGCTTCTAGAATTTGTCACCATGATCCCTTATCAATTCCAGTTTTGCTCAAGAAAGGGAATGTATTTTGCATTTCATTCGCTCAGTACCTGCTATTTGAGGAGAGCTGTTGAGAAAGGTCTAATGCTGGCTAAGTGAAATTACGGGTGAGTAATCGTCACTACCTGGCTCGTTTAGAAGTCCAGTCTTCTCCCTGGAGGAAACTCAGGCATAAAAGCCCTCTTTTCTGGGAATATTATATATCCATTTCCAACTCTCCTTAATCGAACATGTCTCCAATCCCAGTTCATTTTGTGACTAGCATAGAACTAAAAACATCGTGCTTCTGGATTGATTAGTTTATTTGGAAAGAAACAGCTTTGGTCCCTTTTGCTCCTGGCACTTTCCTACATAGCACCACAGAACAAGGGAACCACTAAAAAACATGTTTTTTTCATATCTCTCCTCTGATTGTTAGAACTGGTAAAAGAAATTATCAGCTAACATGGAGATATTCAATAAAGATATTAAATAAATTTAACAAAAGAAATGCAAAACTTATACACTGGAAACTACAATAAGGGACCCAGGATAGCCAAAATGATCTTGAAAAAACAATGATAACCAAGGTGGAGGACTCACACTTACCAATTTCAAAACTTACTACAAAGTTATAGTAATCAAGACAGTGTGGTATTGGCATAAGGGTAGACATATAGATCAATGGAATACAGTTGAGAGATCAGAAGTAAAACCCATACATTTATGATCAATTGATTTTCCACAAGGATGCCAGGACAATTTGATTGGGGAAAGAACAGTCTCTTCAACACATGGTGCTGGGGCAACTGGATATCTACATGCAAAAGAATGAAATTGGACCTCTATCTCTCATCACACTAACTCAACAAGGATTAAGGACTTAAGTGTAAGAACGTAAACTATAATCTTAGAAGAAAACATAGGTGTAAATCTTCATTGGCTTGGATTAGGAAATGGTTTTGCCTAAGGCAAAAACAGCACTCCCCCCCAGATAGGTAAGTTGAACTTCATCAATACTAAAAGCTTTTGTTCTTCAAAGGACACTACCAAGAAAGTGCAGACAACCCAAATAATAGAAAAAAATGTTTGTAAATCATATATTTGATTAGGGCCTAGTATCTAGAATATATAAAGAACACCTACAACTCAACAATAAAAAGACATATACCCCAGTTAATAAATGGGCAAATGATTTGACTACTTTCTCCAAAGAAGATATACAAATGGCCAATATATACATGAAGAGATGCTCAACATCTTTAGTCATTAGGAAAATGTAAATCAAAATTACAAAGAAATACCAATTTATAGCCTCTAGGATGGCTATGATGAAAACGACAGGGGATGTGTTGCCAGGATATGGGGAAACTGGAAACTTCATGCACTGCTGGTGGAAATGTAAAATAATTTAGCCACTCTGGAAAACAGTTTGACATTTCTTCAAAAAAATTAAATATAGAGTTACTGTTATATAACCCAGCAACTCCACTCCTAGGTATATACTCAAGACAATTAAAAACATATATCCACAAAAAACCTGATACACAAATGTTTATAGGAGCATTATTCATAATAGCCAAGAAGTGAAAACAACCCAAATGTCCAATTCCTGAATGGATAAAAAATGCAGCATTTTCATCCAATGGAATATTATTCAACTATAAAAAGGAATAAAGTTCTGATAGATGCTACAACATGGATGAACCTTGAAGATATGCTAAGCAAAAGAGGCCAGACACAAAAGGCTACATGTTATATGATATCACCTATATGAAATGTCCAGAATAGGAAAATTTATAGACAGAAAGTGGTTGCCAGGGCTGGGGGGGGGGGAAGTGACTGCTAATTGGTTTGGGGTTTCTTTTTGGGGTGATGGAAATGTTCTGGAATTATATAGTAGTAATAGTTTCATAATCTTGTGACTATACTAAAAACAGTGAATTGAATTTTATTGTTTGTGAATTATATCTCACTACAGATGTTTCTTTATATAATATTCCATGTAGGCAAGTTGGGATAGTAGAAAGAATGCAGCAGAAATTGAGTATTAGATCTGGCTTAAAATCCAGGTTTTGGGAGAATTTTAACCTATCGGAGCTTTAGTCTCCGCTTCTGAAAATGAGAGCACTAATATTAATCTTATGTATTTTTCTGTATATTAAGTGAGAAATATTTGTAAGCTGTTTTGGGGGATGGGATGGGTTGGACACATAGTAGGTTTATAACACATGTTAATTGATTCCCCCTTCCTCCCTCCCTCCCTTCTTTCCTTCCTTCCTTCCTTAATTTGTACCGGGTTCTAACAGGACGCTAGGTGATGCCTTAAATAGCAAGGGTTTAACAGTTGATCTGAGTAAACCAGGTTGGAACTGAACGTCAGACTAATAGTTAAAGTTGGAAAAGCTAGGTTCTGTGGAGGAAAAAGGGGGCGTTGTAATAAATCTAACCTGAAGTAACCTCACAGGATGATCTGATCATAAATTCCTAACTGGGCAGGTCATGGTGAGTAGTCACACCCCAGGCATATCACTTGCTGGTAAAAGGTTTATATTTGCCTTAAGCAAGTCTTGTTCATTTTTCTGTGCATCTAGGTTAACACACCTTTGAAACGTCTTTTTTTCAGACTCCTCAGAAGTATAACCACCCTTAAGAGAGCACATAATCTTGTTAACTGTCCTGTAATCCAATCCCTTTCTTGCTTTATCCCCTTGTGTAATCAGCCTTATGTTCCCTCCTTACTCCCAAATGTGTAAAAGAAACCAAAACTTTTATTCTCTAGAGCATTTGAGATCTTGTTTCCCAGCATTGTCATCAATTTTGGCTCAAATAAGTTCTTATAAAAATTCTCTACAAGTATGGATGTTCTTATGTCAGCATTTACTTGGCATAGCTGGCAGGACTCCAGAGAAACCCACACCCCGGACCACCCTGTGGCCTCTGACTAGGTGCTTGGTACCAGCAAGGGTCCACTGTGCCCCCAGCTCCCCGTTTGCTCTGGGTGAACTTGGGTGAGTTTTCTCGTAATCTCGGATCTCCTTGCTTTAAGTGGCAGATCCTGCCCTGCCCCCTAACTTGCCAGTCTGCCGAGAACTTATATACCAAGGCTATTCATACTGTCGAAATCCAGACGGCATTTCAATACCTCGTTGGCCTCTCTGGGAAGGAGAGCTCTCAGGGAGGACAGAGCAGCCGGTCTTCCCAAGGTCAAAGTCTGAAGGGAGGGTTCCTGAAATTCACCAGAAAGGCCCGCTGGTGGGTTCAGGGATCATCAGTCTGAGGCACCCCAGGGCTTTTGGTCCAGTCTCCTCCTGGGTGTGTCGAAGGTGTGAGGGATGCAACGTGGCCACCACGGGGGAAAGCACACGGGCTTTAGCATTGGAGACGCCTCTGTCTGAATCCGTCCCTCACGCTGTGACCTTGGACTGTAAACTAGCCCGAGCCTCAATTCTCTTATTCATGTTATAAAGATAATGATGCCAGCCTCGCAGGACTGTGTCCAGGTTTAAGGGATAAAGCAGGTGACATGCCTGCCGTGGTGAATGGCAGTTCTTACCCACTGATGGCGGGACGCGGTGCAACTCTAGGAGGTTGGGCCCGGAGAGCATTCACTTGCATTCGTTTGCACACCGTGGATTCTTCAGTCAACGTGTGGATTTAGGGGCTGATTAGGTTGTACCCTTTAGCTCTGTGGTTCAGGGTGGAGGGTGTTAAACTTTTGAAGATCCCTTAATGTGAATCCTTATGCTTTAGGGGAAAATCCAGTGGTCAGCTTTTTAGGAGATGTAGACCATCCTTCTCATTCCCTGAGCCTTATAAATTCTCAGAGAGATAACACTCTATTGTATACGATGGTCAGAATTTTCAAGCTGAATTGGCCCTAAGAGATCATGTTAATGGAACTGAACACAGAAAGATTAAAGTTACCTGAGGCTCTAGGCCCTCTTAGTGGCGTACTCCGGGCGGGCCCCGGCCTCCTTCCTGGCCGGTTATGTTCTCTACTGTACAGTTCCTCTGTTTAGTTGATACCTGCCAGCTCAACGTAGCATTTTAGAGTCAGGTGAGTCAAAGTGAAAGATTCAGGTGAGTATGGTACATTTAATTTTAATATGCCATGTGTATATTTCATAGTTCATTTGGGGGTCTTGCTCAGTCAATTTTCATTTTATAGAGCTTGGAGAGAAATTTGCTATTGCAACAGTTGTTATATCTTTGAGGATTTTTGTTGATCACATCTGTGGCTTCATTTAGTCCTAACTCGTGTCAGGGGCACAGTCAGATTCACACAGTGCTTTTCCCACGGGACCTGGTTTGAATGCAGTGGTCAGTGGACTTGGGCTGTGGGCACTGAGTAAGCTGCTCAGGGCTACACAGCTCTAGAGGACAGTGACCCCTGCTCTATAGTCAGTTGTTGCCACATTCCAGCCTGGAACAGTCTTGATCAACTGCTCCTAGGTCTTAATAGAATGAGAGGCATGAGAACAAAATGGAGAGATTTTAAAAAAGAAAGCAAACATTTATCCAATTTACAGGGCTGCCTTTTATTCTGACAGCGCAGCTTTTTGACATTTTATTTGTAAAATGTCCTTTCTTTTATGAAATTATGGTCATTGTAGATTATAGATAGTAGATTTCCCATCTGTTAATTGTTTAAATGTCCTTACTTGGCAAAATGAAACACAGACACCCTCTGGTTTATTTTCTCTCTTAACTCCCAGAAATGCCTTGTGTTGCTGTGGCAGGAAGCAGGGACTGCTGGCAGTTAAGGGGAGCTGGAGAGTTGACTCAGGAAGACTGTTCAAAGGGCCCTGGCTTAGCCAATGTGAGGGTGGACCTTTGAAGCTCCCCTTC